CATAGGCGATGTCAATGGATGTGCATTATCCATATAAAAATGTTTTACAACTCTTTCTGTATACGTATATTGGTGAACAAATAATCCATATGCGAATATCAGCAATCCAAGATAAAATTTGGTTTTTCCCAAATCCTTCATCTCAAATTCATTTTTCAAATAATTAACAGTTTTGTTGAGCTCTTCGGGAGTTCCAGTTAAATTTAGATCATTCACATAAACTGCCACAATTGCAAATCTAATATCTATTTTCTTTATGAAAACACATGGACAGACATCGTCATTATTATAACCATCTTTCAACAAATATTCGCTAAGACGATTTTACTACATGAGTCCGAATTGTTTCAATTCATATAATAATCTTTGCAATTTAATTGAGAACATAGTTTTCGAGCATGTATCATTTGTTTTTGTTTCTGGTACCTTAAGTCCTTCAGGGATTTTCATATACATGTCATTGTCAAGTGAACCATACAAATATGTAGTTACCACATCCATAAAGCGCATATCAAGCTTTTGTGACGCAATCAAACTAATTAAGAATCTAAAAGTGATGGTATCCATTATAGAAAAATATGTTTCCTCATAATCAATTCCTGGCCTTTATGAGAAATCTTGAGCTACTAGTTGAGCTTTTGTACCTTGTAATTTCATTATTTTTGTCTGTCTTTCATACAAAAACTCATTTGTATCCAGTAAGAATTACATTTTCAAGTGTTCAAACCATTGGTCCACACACTTTTCGTTTCTTCAAAGAATTCAATTCCACCTGTATGGTTTCTTTCAATTTTGGCCAATCATTTCTATTTTGACATTCTTTAACTGACTGTGGTACAGAATCCTCATTTTACATAATATCAAGAGTTGCATTAAAAGCGAAAATATTGTCTATAACAACATTATTCCATTCCCATAATTTATGAGATAACATATAACTTTTTGAAATCTCATTATTTTTGGACATTTGTGATTTTTCAGGAACCATATCTTTAATATTTGATTGATCAATATTTTCTAATGTGACTTTTCCAAAATTTTTGATTGGTTTTCTCTTGTACTTTTCTTTTTAAAGGTACAGAGTTTTTTGAACCAACTAGTAGAACACGTTTTTGGCGTATTCGAGATTCATTTGCCACAACAGATTGTCGTTCAGGATATCAATTTTTGCTGAAATATTTTCTGTTGGTATAAATGACTTTGTCACTTTTCTTGTGTCAACAAATACATCAGGTAATTGATTTGCAACTCTTTGCAAATGAATTATTTTTCAATATCTTGCTCACATTGATTGATGCGGGGATCAAATTGAAATAGAGTTATTTCATTTCAAGAAATTTTATTTTATTTTTCAGGATATAGTTTTTCCCTTCCTAAAGTTGGGAAAGTAATTTTATCAAAATGATAATCTACAAAACGTGCAGTAAATAAGTCACCCCATTAAAGGTTCAAGATACCTAATAATTGATGGTGAATGAAAACCCACATAAATCCCAAATCTTCGTTGGGGACTCATTTTAGTACGTTGTGGGAGTGAAATAGGGACTTGGACTGCACAACCAAAAACCCGTAAGTGAAAAATATCAGGTTCATGATCAAATGTCAGTTACAAAGGTGAATATTGATAATAGGCAGTAGGTCTAATATGAACCAATGATGCAGCATGTAATATGACATGACCCCAAATAGAAGTTGTGTGTTTTGTTTTCATATGTAATGGTCAAGCAATAAGTTGTAAACGTTTAATAAACGATTCTGTCAAACCATTTTGTGCATGGACATGCGCAACTGAATGTTCAATTACAATCCCAATTGAAATACAATAATCATTGAATGATTGTGATCTAAATTCACCAGCATTGTCAAGACAAATACTCTTAATTGAGTAATTGAGAAATTGCTCTCATAATTTTATAAATTAAGCAAGTAGTCTAGCAAATGCTACATTTCTAATGGAAAGTAGGCAAACATGTGATCATCTAATAGAAGAATCAATTAATATCATAAAATAGCGAAATGGTCCACATGGTGGGTGTATTGGCCAACATATATCTCCATGAATTCTTTCCAAGAAAGTTGAAAATTCAATATTAACCTTTGTAGTCGAAGATCTAATAACTAATTTGCATTGCGAACATGCTAGACATGGATAATCATTAGGTAAAAAAATCTTCTTGTTTTTTAAGGGATGTCCATGTGAATTGTTTATTATTCAATGCATCATTATAGCTCCTAAATGTCCAAGTCGGTCATGCCAAAGTATAAAACTTTTTAGGTCAACGAACTTCTGGTTCGTGATATTATTTGATTCAATCATTTTTATAAATGTATAATACATACCAGATGGGAGTACATGAAATTTTTCTTTTATTTGCTTTTGATCAAATACAAAAGAAGTTATGTAAAGATATTCAATATTATTTTCTTGTATCGTCTTAATATGATATCCATTGCAGCGGATATCTTTAAAGCTAAGTAAATTTCTTCTGAATTTGCTGGAATAAATTGCATCGTCAATATATAATTTTGTATTATTTGGTAAAAAAAATACAAGCTCTTCCAGAGCTTTCAACGATATTCGATGCACCTGATATTGTATTAACATTATTTTCTTCTAATGTTAAGTCCAAAAAACATTTTTTGTCTTGAAAAATAGTGTGTGTATTGTACTATCAATCAAGCAGGTGTCTTGACAATCTATTTTGAATTTTTACTAAATTTTGAAGTATAAAGTTTCGTGCTGATAACATGTTGTGAAAATAGAAGAAAAGTGAAGAGAACGGAGAGAAGTGAGTAGACTTGTACGTATTTTATTAAGAACCAAAATCCTGTATTTATATTGCAGAATTAAGGATACAATAGTAATTATTTCTAGGATTGTAGAGATATAATTGTCATTCACCTCCAAACCATAATAAACTTACCTTTTACAACATATTCTTTTCTCTTTTTCAATTTCTTTTATTTTATTATTTTATTTATTTTATGTTAAAATAAAACCAAACTCATTTCCCCGGTCAACTTAACGGGCCTCTAGACGGAGATAATTTCTGTCCAAAGATTCTTTCGCCGTATAGATTGAAAGATTTCCATCCAAAAATCCTTTTAACGAGTTAATTACACCATTTCTCACTACAATTTGTGTAAAACTTCAATTTGATCATTAAAGATTTTTTGTGACTCGTTTAACTACTTAATAATTTCACACAATGATCACAGAAGATTTTGTGAATTTTTTAATCGTGGCTTAACATAAACTAATTGAATTTGACAATGTTAATTGAATTTTGCTGAACTGCCACAAAATACCTGACCTAAGGGATGACCGTCTCTCACATTATTGTGGATCCCGTGTCAATAAAAAATGCCGACCTCCCCAGTATATGTGTGTTTTGTCATAGCCTCCGTTGCTCGAGCAAGCTCCATGCTAATTAGTGCATTGACAAGATGCCACATCATTCTATTAAGTCATTTTTCTCTAACCAAGGGATGTCATAAACTTTAACTAGGTCTAAAGCGTTTGATACCCATTTTTAAGGAAAAATGAATTTTAGAATGGTAGATTGATGGAAAATATGTGAATGAAAGTTTTTTATTTACGTGTAATATTTTTTTTTTTTTTAAATGTGATTGAAAAGAAGAAACAGAAAAATATAATTTAAGAAAAATGAGAATCAAACAGAGCCTAATCTAACTTGAACGGTGAAATTAACACAAGTTTTAATGGGTCACTGTTAAGATAAACAGTGAGAGCATCTCAAAACATTTGAAAAAGCTATCAATTGAGATATTTAATATAATATGATTTCCTCCATGATTTTAGGATGAAATTAGACAATTGTTATTAAATTTATTTATTTTATTACCGCAGAATAAGACTTTATTGCATTTTCTCTTTTCCGGTTTCTTTTATTTTATTATTTTAATTATTTTACGAAAAAGAAAATGTAAAGATGCCATTACACCCTTCTTTAAATTGATCAAACTCATTTTATACGATCAAATTAGCAGACCTCCATATGGAGATGATTTCCGCCCAAAGATCCTTTCACCATATAGATTAAAAGATTTCTGTCCAATGATCCTTTATCGAGTTAATTATGCCATTCCTCACTACAATGTGTAAAACATCAATTTGATCATTATAGATTTTTGTGTCTCATTTAACAGCTAAACGGCCTTCTTAGAGCCCCATTTTTCTAAAAATTCATTTTCAACCACACAAACTCCAATAAAATAATATTACAGAAAAATCCAAAACACTTTCTTAATTTTTAACCGCCCAATCTACATTAATCTATTATTTCAAAATACATTCTTCCCCTAAAATAGGAAATAGGCTCAAACAAGGTTTAATAATGGTTTCACCTAATGATCAGGAAAAAAATTGTGATTTTTTTAATCGTGGCTTAACGCAAACTAATTGAATTTGACAATGTTAATTAATGCACTAACGAGATGCTATGTCATACTATCAAGTTATTTTTCTCTAACAAAGGGACAAATGGTGTCTATATTATAAAGTTTGAATAGGTCAAAAAAATACTGTAAATATCACTTGAAAGGTTTTAATGGGTTACTATTAAGACAGACAGTAAGAGCATCTCAAAAAGATCCTCTAAATACAAAATACTCTTTATTTTAGAAAATCAATACTTAGAAATAAGTTCAAAAAACTCTCTATTTTCATTTTTTAAAATAAAGATTGGACTTGGCTCTCTCGCTCTCCATTTTTAATAAACAATGATTGCATTTAACAAGTTACAAAATTCAATAGCCTCCAATTTAGAATATTCAAATTATATTTGAATTGATTGGNAAAATAAAAAAAAAAAAAATATATATATATATATATATCAATCAATCTACTCTCTATAATGCATATGATACTCTTCATAAATAAGAGTCTCTCGGAGACGCTCTATAATGCATATGATACTCTTCATAAATAAGAGTCTCTCGGAGACGTCCAAGTATTGAGTAATAAAGAAAAAAAGAAGTTGAAACCATGCTTAGTGTTTTCATCCTGTAGCATGGGAAATAACATCTATTTAAAACATTTGATGTCAAATTCACAGTATGAGAGAGAGAGAAAGAGAGAGAAGGCAATGCAAGAACCCTTATTTCGCTGACTAGAAAACATGATGCAGCAACAAAATACACAAAACCGTCAAGATATATCTTAAAATCAATTGTGATAGAGATAATCTTAAATCAATTCAACAACGATGGCAACAGTTATTACAGCACTGCCCGTTACCTAATGGTGATGATCTTGCACATAACGTAAACCACAATACTTGCATATAGCCGGCTCATCCAGGTCAAGACAGATGAACTCGATTGGATGCCCAAGTGCAGGATCATTGTCTGCCCTCGGAAAAAGGAAAAAGAAATATAAGAAAATACAGGTAGTATAACAAAGGGATGGCAATCTTTTCACATTGTGACAATAACTTAAGATTTTATGGAAACTAACCTCCTTCACAAGCAACAATCCGACCTTCAACTTTGATGGGAGGAACTTCATTGATTAATTCCATTGGAGATTTTTTGCCTGTATCCTAACAGAGTGGTACAAGAAACAATAATAGCATACAACTGGAGTAAATGGTTTCCACATGGCAAAGCAGGAAGAGTAATAGTTGAAGCTATAACCAAACGCCCAAAATGAATGATGAAATTTGCTGAACTATATGCATGAAAGCATCACAAACACACGAGCTGAGTGAACTTGAAAACATGCATAATGACATTCCCTAAATCTGATAAAGAAAATACTGAGCTGTCCCAAATAATTGCTAGAAATCTGAGAGTGCTATATACACTTGGAGTGCTGTGATTCCTATTCACTGAATGCCATTCAGGCCAAACATAATTATAGATTAGATGAGATGAAGCAGAAAGTTATCTTCCTTTATATGCCTAGATAATGGCTTAATGGTTCATATTCGTTTCTCTAACTAAGTGTTTTAAGTGCTCTAGTTGCCATCCACATGGTAAGCAATGATGAAGATTGGCACTCACACAATTGGCTTAGAATTCAACTACAGGGTTAAAAGGGTCCAAATAGAGGCAAATTTCCAGTAGCTCACATTAGAATAACCAAAGGATCTTCAAAGCCCAATTTGATAAGACTTTGATCTCTTTCAACAAATAAATTCTTAACATCTCATAACAAAATCAAGTTGGTTAATTACAATTTTTTTCTCCAATGAATGGAAAGAGTAAAACAATAGTATTTGATGCATTTCAAATCCTATAGTACAGCAAGTTTTCGGCTCTATAGTACAGCGATGATGCTTTCAAATTGGCTTTAGGAACCACAAACGAAGCTTTGATACCATTTAACTTCTATGAGGAAGGAAAAAACAGTGATAAAGCAACGCCTAAGGGTGAACACGAGGTTGTTTGGTCTGGATTTCTTGAAAATCGGACCAAACCGATTCCCATTAGGAATTATGAAAATATAATAATTGGTTCTATGGGCAAAGCAGCGGTCCGGTCCAGTTCTACTGAATGATATACAGGTCAAAATATCATAATAGATTAGGCGAGATGAATCAGAAAGTTATTGTCCTTTATCTGCCTAGATAATGGTTCACATGGGTAGCACCAACTAAATGGTTATGATGCTGCAGTTGTCATCCATGGAGTAAGCAGTCATGAAGAGTTGGCACTCTCACAATTGCCTTAGGGTTCAAATATGGAGTTAAAAGGGTCCAATTAGAGGAATATTTCCTGTAGCACACATGAAAATAAACAACCGATCTTCATAGCCCATTTTCATAATCATCTGCTCTCTTTAACATAATAAATTCTTATCTAGTCTAATAATAAAATTAAGTTGGTATCTACATTTGTTTCTCCAATTCTTGGAAAGAGAGAACACTTTTTGTCAATGCATTACAATCCTTTAGCTTGCTAGCGCTCAGCTCTATAGTAGACTGGACATGCTTGCAAGTTGCCTCAACCATAAATAAAGCTTTCATGGTGTCTACAGATATTATAAGAGGAAGGATAGTATAAGCGATAGGCAACACCATACCGAATTTTTCACTAGTAAAGTTGTTTACCTAAGACACATTGTAAAGGTCCACAGGATAAGCTCACTAAAGTGATGTGATCTATATACTGTCAATCTGCCTAAGATACTCATCATGAATAATATACCGTCACAATCTTCCCAGATTGATCAAGAGAACCTTAAAAGCTGTTATCTAGCTTCTTTTTTAAAACAATTCCCACCCGTACATTTCCTCTATGGCTAATGTACTCTATGGTGAAAGGGGGATTTGAAATACGAAAATAAAGATGACATTTTCTTTAGCAATTAAGAGGACGTTTATAATAATTTGATCTAAGATTTAATACCAAAATTTAACTTCTTTAGGAGAAAAAAATCAAAATTCAGAAAATGAGATAAAAGTGAAGCAGAGGCATACTTCCCCCGTGAATAGTGAATACAACAGATAAATAAATAAGACGAGCAAAAGATTCGATTACAGATATTTGTATCTAATTCTAAAATATTTATTTTACAATAAATAACATCCGGAAGAAGATCAGATACCGAAGTCAAGCTAAAAAAACAAAAAACGATCATTAAATTTCCGAAATTGACATACTAAAATTGAAATTTTATTATCTACCTACATACATATGTACATAGGGGAAGTGAGATTACCTGCATCCATTTGGCGGTGTGGGAGGTGATAACCTCGCTGCTAACGGCGTCGCTGAGGCATCGAGTGTTGGAAGGAAGAGTGGAAGATCTTTGGATTATTAGGGATTTCATGAAGTTTGTCGCCATTGCTATACCCTGTTTTCTCCCGAACATCGCCATTGGTCTCAGTCCAAGCCCTAGAGCGAGAAATTCTTTTAAATCAGAAGAGACATTCGACAAAAAAGGTTTAACTCAGAGGAAAGACGTGCCTGCTTTTGCACGAGTGAATTACCAAATCCAAATGGTCATTCAATTTTGCTAAAAGTTTTTACGAGGTCATTGAATTTTAAAAATCATACAATTCATCATTAAATTTTGTAAAAAGTTTTTATGTGGTCACTGAAATTTAAAAATCATCTAATTCATTACCAAACTTTGCAAAAATTTTCCCAAGGATCACTAAACCCCATGAAAATCTTTTACAAAATTCAGTGATAAATATAGTGATTTTTAAAGTTTAGTGATCCCATAAAATTTTTTTACAAAGTTCAATGATCATTTAGATAATTCTCTCGTTTTTTCACCACCTCTCTCC